CATCTGTGTGATATCACAAAATCCTCTGCCTCAGATACAATCTGCGTGCACATCTGCTCATAATCACATTATAAACATTGGTTATGCAATAATCTGTCTTTAATGTCTGTGTCCTCCTGGCACGACTTTCTCCTGAACAGGAAAATGAGCTGTCGCTGAGATAAAGAGATTTGTGGGCAACTATAGCAGGTATGCAAACTGTTTAATACCGTGGGGGGGAAACACCAGAGCAAATGCAGCAGGACACTGAAGCATCTGAAACTGAATTAGTTATGAATAAAAATAAAAGTTTGTTAGAACTCAGTTGACACATTTCTCTCATATTGTGTTTTATGACCTCCTCACACTGCAGAGTGCCTTTGTTTAGTTTATGTTAATGTGTATGTACTTGTACTTATATCAATACGTATTGTATTTTCTCTTCTTCTATATAATATTATATAGTATAATATCATGTATTATAATATAATATAAATTATTTTATTTCACGTGCCTTTTCAAAAGTCAGTTTTATTCACATTGTATTTTTTCACAATTGAGTCATTTTTATACATATTTATATTTTGTAAACTGAAAGATTTTCATGAGTTCAACTTAAAAACAACATTAGGTTATATACAGTGGCATATTCCTGATTTGACTTGAGGTGCCAGGCTGTTTTAGTTCTTTTGTTTAATCATTTATTAATGTACTCTGTATTTTAACTTTACTTTACTTTGTGTTAAAAAGTGCTCTATATGAATAGAGTTATTATTTTCTTATTACATATAGTTGTTTAATTGAATGAAATGAAAGTGTGGTTTAAAAAAAAATCCTTGATATCTACCCCTTCAGGAAGATACATTTATATGAATATTTTAAATTATACTTAACTACAAACTTGGGTTTCTCATACTAAATATATATAAACCAAAATATGCAGAAACACAGTGTATGCTATCAGGATCTGTATTAATTGGGATGCAGGCTTCCCTACTACTTTTCCTTTAACCAGTAAGTGGCCCTCACTGGTCCTGCTCTTATCTCTGAATAGAGGGAATCAGCGTGGCCAGCTGAGCAGTCGGAGCAGAGAGCCAGGGAGAGCACCTGACCTTCCACAGCCATCTGATTAGAGAATACAGGCCATACTGAACCAGACCAGGCCAGGCAGGTCTGTAAAATGAACTAAACCAGGTTAATTCTATTGCACCGTGGCCTCCCTCTGAGGCTTAGAGCAGCAGGTTTAAATCAAAGTAATGCCACAGCACAGAGCAACCTCATCAAGCCACGAGCCAGGAATGAAGATCCAGGTGAAGAAACTATAGCTGCACTGGTTCGGAACAGCTGACAGCTGCTCTCTGAAGCATGCATTTAATCATTAAGCTCCTATTATCTACAATATCCCAAAGCTCTCAAATTGGCTCATGAAAAAGGAGTCTTCTGTCACATTTTATCTCAGCTGACAATGGCATGAATGTTGAAAGTGACACAGTAGAGTGAAGATATTAGTGAGGGAGTTTAACATAAAAAAAGATTGTAAAGGGGTTTGGAATTTACTCTTCTTTATCTGTTTTCATTTTTTAGGAAAAGATGGAAAATCAGAACCAAGTGGGACACATTACAAATACAGCATGGAGGTGTTGCATTGCACTTTCATGATGGTGAAAGTCTGTAATAACATAAGAAAGAAACCTGGTTGGTAAAACTCATCTACACATAAAAGAGTTTGATTAAAAACCAGTACAAACTACAGCTGTTGTTTAAACATCAGTGGCCATATTCAAACAATAGACTGTATAATGGATGACGTGTCTCCACTTCCTCACACTATCCAGAAATTAAATTGAAAAAACATCCCAGATATACAAACGGTGCCGTCTGTGCATGTGGAACCAGAGTTGGGGAATGGAGCTGTGGTAGAGAGGTCCTGCCAAGACACGAGCTCTACCAATCGTGAGACAGTCTCAGCTGTCAGTCAAGAGGTTTCATCCTCTTTATAAAACATCCAGTGACTAATTGAAACCACATTTACCAGAAAAATAAGTCAGTATGATAAGAACAACCTCAAATGACACAAACTCTCTTTGGAGAATAATGCATTTGACGTGTACTTTAACGGTTTTGTTTGGTCCCTGTCGCATCCACTAACATGGAGGAGGTTGTACTTATGACCTATGCTGCACCCAGCCACCAGGTGGAGAACGAGATGCTTTGGCTTCACTTTGGGGAGCTGTCATGTTGTCCATATTTATATACAGTCAATGCAAACCACACTGGACTTAGGGTACATGTGCACAAAGTATTTGAATTTCTTGCTCTTTGCACAGATAATCTTTGCTGAACATCCCATCCCAAAATCCCATTGACAATTTCTTTCAAAAGGAAGGGGCGTCATACTCTTAACACTGAAGGTAATTTAACCTGTTAAGGAATCACATATTTAAGCCCAGACTACAACCTTTTCCTGTGCCCAAACTTAACCAAACTGTGTGTTCCACAGCCTTTACCATTCCTTTATTAATGTTACCATAGCGATGAATGTGCTGTAAACATACTGGTTCTCTCCCATGGGGCGAGTTAGCGACAAAACAACCTACATGGCTATTCAGGTGTGTGTGGACTGGTTGATTAATAGTGTTGTCGCAGGTCCATCTTGATGTATGAGACATTTGTTCGGTGGCTTTTCTCCTTCACCACATGAAGGAATGATGGCGTACAATAACTGTACAGTGAGCACACACCCTCAGGAATTCATGTATGTATAACAGTAATAATTAAGATCAGTAAACTACAAAATGCAGTCTCCCCTGCATGCACTGACACTGACAGCTTCTCATGTCAGAGCATTTTCTGTCACTTCTGGCCCATGGGAGGAGAGTATGTTTAACGTGTAGACATTTCACATTAAAGACTTTAAAGATACAGCTGTCTGTATGAGATGAATAGAGTGTCAGGATAACAGCGGTTTTCAAAGTGGCTTTACCATAAAGTGCATATTTACACGATTGTGGAATAAAAACACAGAAAGTATAAAAAATGTACTGAAGATGAGCCATTATGAAGTACATTTAAAACGCACACCTCCCTGTGTTTGTCTCAGATGAACGTGCACAGACAGGTGGTAAAAGGTGTTGATGGATGTCCTCAGCGGAGCAGTCATTCATCTTGGTAGATCCCTTTCTTTTAAAGGATTGGTGTCACAACACTGGCTTCTAATGGATGACTTGTTCAGACAGGTCCAGAGCTGTGGGTTTTCTGTATGTAGCTGTTTGAACTTGCATCTGTAAAACCAACAGAATTTGATCTAAAGCACAAGACATATGATCCAGTTTTGACATACAAAGTTTCAAAGTTCACCAATACGTAAGTAAATAAATGAATGAGTAATAAGCACATAAATAAATAAGTATGAAATAATCACAGTATGAATCAATTGTGGAAAAATACAGTGTCACTTTTCACGAGAAATTTAATTTTGAAATTAAATCTACTGCAAAATGAAAATGACATCCAGTTATAAAGAAACTGAATTATGAAATGAATTTATATTTGTTTATTTTACTCACTTTGTACACATGATTCATAATGTTATTTTATTTATTATTTGTTATCTATAATGATCACAGACATTTTCTTTAATTAAAATAACAAACATTTGGTGAACACTTTACTATCTGGATTACAGACCACTCGGCACACGCAAGTAAAAGGCCCTCAGAAATCCTGTAGGACTGATTCTACAGCGGTGTCATTCGTCATCTTTTTGTGTCTCTTTGTTAATGCTTAGTGTCCTTTTTATGTGTTTGTTTCACCACATGGACATTTTGTGTCTTATTGCAGGTATTCTGGGTATTTTGGGACATTAAGTGTAACTTTGATGTTATTTTGTCTCTGTATACCTTGGATGTCATTTGAAATGTTCCTTTGCAGTCATTCTGTTTGTTTGTTGTCACTTTGCATTTTGTCATGGCAGTTTTACATCTCCTTTGAGTAGCTTTGCATTTTGTTGTGGTTGTTGTATTTTAATCTTCATTTGTCATCTCTGCAGTATCTGTGCAATACATTATTGAAATTCTGTTTCTTAATGAGGTCAATTCGTGTCTCTGATATTTTTTGTATCTTTGTTGGGTATTTTCCTCATGGTACTGTTTCATCACATTTTTGTTGTTATTTTGTGTCACGTGTAGACATGTGTCTCGTTGAGGTAATATTATTTCTCCTTGTGATATTTTTTTGCATCTTTGTTGTATTTTGTGTCTTCGCATCGTAAGGGACATTTTTTTTAATCTCTTTTGTGTATGTTTTGCACTTATTGTATTTATCTGCATTTGTGTTGGTGGTCAGTGTCGTCTGCTCTGGTGAGTGCTCTTTGTGTGATGGCTCTGTCGAAAGACCATGTTCTCAAACGTAAAACAAGTGTCTAGGCTAAAAAACATTGTGTAAATGACCATTTCGAGTCAAAACTGAATGTTGGCTTACGGACACTTGAATGACAGTGTGACAGTAGGAGCACTATGGAGGCATGTTATGCTGTTTTCCCAGTTTTATTACGTTTGAAGAATTGAAGGTTCAGTGTGAATTTAGTGAAATCTAGTGGTGAAGTTGCATGTTGCAGCTGAATACCCCTCGTCCCCCCTTTCAAACATGAAATGGAATCTGTGGTAGACGTCAGATGTCATAAAAACTCTTTTAGTTTAGTGTGTCCAGTCTGGGCTACTGTAAAAAACATGGCAGCATCCGTAGAGAGGACCACCTCCAGATGTAAATATAATGTATTTAAATATAAAGGGCCCATTCTGAGATAAAGAAAACAACAATTTGTACTATTTAGTGAAAACATCATGAGGATAACTTATATTCAATTTTTTGCCAATAGATCAATTTCATCTTAATCTTTCACAATGAACCTTTAAATATAAAAATATATCTACTACTCACTATCTCTTTTGCCATTCACGGTTGAACTATTTGCTCAAACACGTTGCGACCCTGCACTCATCGTCCTGCGACCCTCTATGATGTCATAACCCACATGTTGGGAACCCCTGCGTTGGGTGAAGGTGAAGGGGAGATCGATACTCCAAGAGCCTCCTGGAGCTGTAAATTCTGAGTTTTGTGGCTGACCCCTGAAGGCGTCAGTTCCCCGGGATGTGCCTCCCCTCCCTCCCGGAGCCTCCTGGTCCCTCCCCGCCGCCTCCCGCCGCCCGCTGCCCGGGCTGCCTGCCGCCGCCGCCGGGCTCGGGATGACGCCACCTCTCGCTCCGCCCCGGCGCACAAACTCGCTTCCTCGCGTTCATTTCATTCCTCGTCTCATTCCGAGCATTCTTCGCATCTCTTGTCAGTGCGCGAAGCGATTCACCCTGAAATCCTCTCCCCGGGCTGGCTTCAGAAACACCACAGTAACTTGACATAGTATTAAAAAAAAAAAAAAGAGAAAAAGAAATACCCAGTAACATCACACTGCCTAAAGCAAGGGACATTTTTAAATGAGATATCAATAACGAGGTAAGTTTCGTTGGCAGTCGCAGGTATTCAAAGTGTAGACTTCTGTTGTGGTGTTGATGAAAAATGACGGTGCTCACTCTTTCTCCCGTGTAGCGTCAGGTCGTGTGTTTCCTCACAGACACACACATACATGGCCGCTGGCTGCAACAGGATGCTCACTTCTAACACTGTTGCAGCTCCCGGCTTTGACACAGCAGCGACACAAATCTTTGACATTTTTCACATTTTTCCGCTGAAAACAAGCCCGCTCCTACGCCCCTGTATAAAAGCCTCGGCAGCCGCTCGTCCGCCGTCAGACCCTCGTCAAAGATCCCGCTGCGGGGATCCGGGAGCAGCCAGCCCCCCTACAAAAAGCTACACCGCGCCGATAAGAGCTTTTCGGACAAGATGACGGTTCAAATCGTTGCTGTTTTCCTCTCCGTAGTTGGCTCAGCCGGGAGTTGTTGTCGGAGCTTTCGCCGGAGCATTTTCGCCCCAACTCGGAAGAGAAAACCCTCCGGAGACTTGTTGCTTCAGCGCACTTTGACGGTGCTGTTATTTGTCAAATCTCCATCGAAGTTTTGTGTAAGTAAATTCTTTTTTTTTGTGGTATTGTTTCTTACTTTTCTCACCGGTCTCCATGTTGTTACTGTAAACTCTCCTCACACCGACTGAGCCCGAGGGAAAGGTTATAATTCTGCATTGGTCCATTAAAGCTCCTCCATGTCCCTCCATTAGATTCTCAACAACAAAAACCCAGTTTCGGATTGGTTGTGGTGTTGCTGTCAGGGTTTTATTAGAAGACCATGACACGACCCTTAAGTTGAACTAGCTTCAATTTAAGTTTGCTGTTCCCATGTTTTTCAAATAGCTGCAACTTGGAAATAAAAGGCCTAAAATTGACGATTTATGTAAACTGTAGAATTTGTTGAGCTAAATTGCATTAAAGGTGCTTAACATGGACCTTAAGTTGAGGAGGAAAACTATAATTGAATGTAAAGTTTGTCATTACCAGTTTTGCTTTTTAATGGTGGCAAATTGAAACATTGCCTTTGATTCAGTTGGCTGATTTATGTAAAACTGTACAGTTTCTGAAACTAAATGGTATTGAAAGGGCTTAACATGAGCCTTGAGTTGAGGATGAAACCTAGCTTAAATTTAAGTTTGCTATTCCCTTGTTTTTAAAATAGCTGTACATGCAAACCATGCTTTTAATTCAAAGCACAGTTTGCTGATTTATGTGAAATGTAGAGTGTCTTTGTAGAGTTTGTGAAGCTTTTTATTTGGGGTTTCCTTCATTGTTTTCCTTTCCTCCCTCTGCTTCGGGAAATGCCTGCTCAGCTAAAACTGCAGTCCCCCAGCTGTGGGCCAGCAGTGTGTGTGTGTGTCTGTGTGTGTCTGTGTGTGTCAGTTAAGTTTTACACCTCTCAATTATTTTAGCCACATACGTTTTGTGGACTTCCTGAAAATGACATATTCTATAATGCAAAGGGAGGGGGTGAGAAAAAGCCAAATGCACACATTAGCTACAGTAGATTTATCTTAAAAAGTGTGTTCAAACACTTACAGATTACCTCATAGTACCAGACTCTAGTTATTCCCCATCACCTCCTCGGTACTCTTGCACTACATTGTCAGATCTGGTTTGCTTGGAAACAACAGGCAAGTCAGGTCACCAGGTCACTGTTTACATGACTGCGATATGCTGCTGTGATTCAATTAAAGTGTATATATACTTCATTTATCAAGCTAAGTTTTAGAAACTGTTTACATTACCTGATTTATTATGTTTTGTCAGCTAGAATATATATTCTTTCTGCTTGAGGAAAATTGCCTCTTAAAAATATGAATTATTCTGAAAGTTGCTGCTTTGTGTTATAATAATCTCAACAGAGGGGAGTGTTGGGCTGAAAAACAATACCTGTAGTTTCTGTAACAAAATCCACTTTAGCTGTTGGCTGCAGCACCTACAGTTCTTACCTCCTTGTGTTTTTCATGTGAAAGCATGAGTGAGTTATGTTGAGTGTGCAGAAGCTCTCTGCTCTAATTATGTAAAATATGCACCTTCTTGCAGTTAATCTGCAGTTAAACATTTAATGTAACTTTGTAGACAATGAAGAGATGACAAAAACAATCCCTTGTCATGCAATTAACGTGAACGGGTTGTTATGATTTACAGGAAACAGTCTGAATGCAGTCAGGCGTAACTCCAGACATGTAACAGTGTAAATCTCCTTGCTTGGAAGAAAAAAAAAGTAGGAGTAGAAATAGAAGCTTTGTTTTCAGCTTATGCAACCAGTGGACCTGTTGGATGGAAGCCTGCATAACATTTGAGCAAGAATAGGATGTTGTCTTTGTTTGACCCAATGAGACTTCACTTCTGGAAGTAGGAGTTTCCAAACTAGTTTGTTAGAGACTACATGGACGTGTTCACTGCTGTGATTACATGGAGCCTTTCTTTCTCTGTACTATAACTACTGTAGACTTTTATAGAATGTAGAATTAGTACTGAGCCAATTTTGAAATTGGGTCATTGTATTGTGATCTACATTTAAATAGATGCTGATAAGTATCTGGATACGAGCAGGTTGGGTTGTGTATATGGTTCTTCAGAGGCGACACAGGCGATGCATAACTTTAGTGCTTTGTTGGCTCAGGTTTTGTTCATTTTTGTTCAATTGCTGAGGTCTGAGGGCAGGACTACACAGAGTGTAGTTTATCTGTTGTGAAGTGTGGACAGAATAATGTGCTTTTGTGAAGGATACAGTGGACTCTGTTAATTCTTGGAATGAAGTGAACTGTATAAACTGTACTTTTCTTGGCTGCCCACACTCAATATTGTTTAGGTGTCGTAGACTTTCAGAATTTTTATCTTGGCCAGAATGTGTTTGCTGCTTTTGGCCATTTGTAAGATGTATTTGCTCATTTTCTGATTTACGTAAGAACATTGTAAAAATCAAGTCTTGTTTTTCGAAGACGAACATTTACCTTCTTCTACAGTCTTTGGCATGTTCGTGCAATGGCACAGAATTTGTGTACAATAATGACAGTATAACCATGTTTATTTTTGGCATGTGTGAATATATTGATGTATCATTAAATATAACTCGTGGCAGTTTGAACCTTTTAACTACCATTACCATAGACTGACAATGAAACTCTGATGCACTTAATGTTTAGGACTTTTTAAGTGAGGAATCGAAACTCTCCCTCGAGCCGATATTGTCAATATGAACATCATTAGCTGAAATTTTAGAATAACCTCTAATGTTATTTTGATTTATAGCACATTCAGAGATACAGTCTTGAGTAGGAAGCCCCCGAGTGCTTTATGCAACAGGTGCCACATGATGTGATCATTTTCTTTAAAGGTTAAATCATTTGAAAAAAAATTTTTTTCAATAAATTCCATCAGTATTAGTTTGAATTACATTATTTTGGGTTGTTCTATCTCATATTTTTTCGAGTAAATCATACTTTACAGTCTTGCTACCTGACGCTTAACATTTTAGATTTTTGATTATTTACTAGATATTTTGATGGCTCAGTGGTTAAAAGCTTTGGTAGCTCTCAGTTTTTTTTACAGCGTTTGGGCATTAATCCATATATCATACATCGTGTCAATAGACAAATTGATGGTAGAAATAAAAGCTTTACCTGACTGAAAATATAAATGTATGTTTAACAAGGCATCTTCTCTATTTATGGGCCTGTTTAATCCCTCGTGGGAATGTGAACAAATTATGTGTCCCAGATTTTAATTGAGATGACAATACACAATATTATTATTTGTTTTTGTTATGAAAATTCCAGAGTAGAAAAAATATGTGCGATCTGTAATTGAATCTGGACACATGCTCATTAATTGTGTAATTAGATGTGAGTGTGGCGGAACTAGAATCACATCAAAACATCAGCGTTCACGGACAAAGCTCGCTTTTAAAAGAGGACACTCCTGCAGGCGTCCAGACTGTGTGTGCCCTGAGGTAAACTCTGATCTAGAAAGGGAATTTCAGAGTGTGTGCTGCTGCTCAGCAGTTTGAGCAGGGCCCACTGTGGAGAGAGCCACCAAAAAGAAAAAGCTGGCTCAAAGCCACTGACGTCATCTAAGTAAATCTGCTTCACTGCTGCAGCCATAAAATGACTGCCAGCTACCGAATGCACTTTGGCCTTGTCAACTACCTTAGTGGTGCAACTCTGTTGTTTTTTTTGCTCTCTCTCTTCATGTGCATACTCATGTCATTCTGCTGTAGTAGCAGACTTTGGCTTTTTCATTCATAAGGACAAGTCCTGTTTGAGCCTTTCCAGGTTTTCATAAAGCATCAAATCATTCAGCTTCTCTCACCCTTTGAAGTCATAGCGCATTAATATTACATTCTTAATGTTAACCATCTGGCAGTCTCAATCACTTGCACTGGAGAAAAGAGCGTATAGACAGAAAAATGTCTGTATAATGTCTTAACCACTTATGACTGATGTGCTGTGCCTTAGAAGCTGTTCGGACATGTATTTTGTCTTCCTACTTTTATTTGAACAAAAAGACAAATAAATGAGCTGCTTCATGATCACTCACAGACGAAAAGCAATATATTCTCCATGAATCATCACATGAGTCAGTTTCTGAAACCACTATAAACATTTTGAGTTCTTGACCACAATGAAAGCAGGAAATCTCGGCTTCAACAACTTCCTGTCTCTGGTGGCCATAGTAGCCGTCGTGGTGCTCAGCTTCCCCACTGGTGAAAAGAAACCCGTGGAACAAAGGCTCACAGTCACTTCATTTACTGAAAGTGTAATTTGCGGCTTTTATTCAAATGTGGGTTTTTCAGTCTCTCAGGCACTGTATCCCCCAGTCGTTGCTTGTGATGAATTCCCACAAGACCTTTTATCAATGGTCGTTGTGTTTTTTTTATCATGGCTTACACAGATCAGGCAGACTCTCCCTGCCCTGAAGGTGCCCTGCGTGGACTTGAGGGTGAGCTCCCAACATTGATATGCAGGCCGTGCCCAGTAAATCAGTTTGGAATCTGAGCTGGGACACAGCATCAGAGAGCGGCATTCTCCAAAGGGTTTGATTCTTAGTTTTAAGTTGAATATTGTAGGAGCGCATGAAGAACCTTAGATGCTGAAAAAATTCATCAAATAAGGTATTTATCTTTAATAAAGTAATATGTGGAGACCCTTATAGAGCCAGATGTATTGATTGGCTGACAAAAAGCAGCAGATATGAGCCTTTCACAGACATATTGTTATCACCGTTAATGTTTATCAATATGAAAACCTATATCTTACAGAATTAACAATGCAGAGAAGATTCCCATTTATTTGAATATTTTTATTTCCTAATTCAAGATCTGTATAGAGTTCGTGTTCGTGGTTGTGTCTTCTTTTTTATTTGTAGTTTTATAGTTAAACTGTAAAATATTAAGTCTAAATTACATTTCTTTGTCATAAAGGTTTGATAATAACCTCTTGGCAATTTTCTTTGGATTTTTGTGCCAGCTCATATACCGGGAAGTTCAATTTCTTACTTTTTATTATCTGTATCAACATCAGGCCCCGAAAATCCATATTGGTTGGCATGA